AACAAAAAAAAAAAAAACAACAACAAAAAGAATATATATAAAACTATGCTTTATAACCCTCATCTCACATGTTGTTTTTTACAGAGGGAGGAAAACCAGAGAACCTAGATAAAAACTCTCTTGTGGCATGTACTGAAGAGAACAACACAACAAACAAACTCTACTCATGTGCTGGGCACACAGGGCTTGAAAAACCAACCTGGATTGTGAACTTAACATTGTAGAGAGGACGACCCATTTAGGAGTATAATTATCAGAACCAAATGCGCATGTTAATGAATTACTTTGTACTCAGCAAGTTATAAGGCTATATTCTATTTTTTTGTTGCTCAAAGATTTGATAATATATTGTTATAATAGCAGAACTTTCCATGAAAATTTGAGAAAATTTAATTACAAATCATTTATGGACACAATGTTTGTAGAGTTTCTGTGGTGGATTTAGGGGGGTTCATTGGGTGCAAATGAACCCCCCCACCGGCTGTTACCTTGGATTTTTTATATCTTTTTAAATAAATAAATAAAAGTATGGTACTAACTCATGAGATTTAATATGAAATGGGACTGGTGGATAGGTTATCCTTATCAGGAGCACCCCTAGGCCAGTGATGTGCCTCATGGGAAAATTGATGATGCAAGAGAACGTTATTGTTGTGCCAAGATTTGCAAAAATGAACCCCCCCTCGTAAAGTCCTGGATCTGCCACTGAGTTTATCGTTCTTTTAAAAAAAATAACTAGATTTGTTTATCTTCTTTTATACTTTCAACTATTTTTATCTATTTATTTTTACTAAAGCATTGAAAGGAATTTTTATCTTTAAATTTTGGGGTCATGAAGGATTGATTAATTTTTTTGTCCTGCTAAAAGTAAATTTAGTCTAAGTCAAAAAATGTGAAACACGAAAAAAAACCCAATATTTTGTTATTTTACCCAGTGTTTACACTTTAAAAACATGCTCACACATCTTGAATGAAAATTCAAATATTGCAATCAAATATTCTATTTGGTTAAGAATATTTATAATCTGTTAGTCATCACTTGGCTTGATAATTATAGCAAAGCAAATAAAAAAAATTAAACTGGAGTTTGGATTTAATATCTGAACAACTGCCCCAAAAAAGCCTAAATAATATGTGTCAGCAAAAATAGTTTTTGCCTTCTGATTGAAATAAAGGATTTTTCTTTTCTTGTCATCAATATTTCCTGTTTCAACCTCCATTTTTAAGGCACATTTATCATAATCAATTTTTCCCCCAGTTAGCCGGTTATCCATTAACCTTCATAACTATATGTTATATTAACCTAACTACTAATATAATAACTTTGTTTTCTAATTAGGAATCGAAAACTGCCTTGATCATAAGAAAAACAAATCTTGAAATAAATAATTCTTTTGTCATTCGATTTTAAACTAGACTTGGATTTTCAAGTTTAATATTTGTACAGATGATGAAAATAGCAGTAGTTTATGATATAAAAATCAATTCTAACGCCAAACACAGGTGGTAGGGTAACACACTTTACTGAAGTTTATACAAAGAAAGTCGCTGACATTATTGAGCAAGCCAAATGAATGATCTTTGATCTTATCACATAACGACAGCTTCTGCAGTATGATAATCACTGGATGAACATATCCTCATGTCGCTCACCAAATGTTCATAAAGACTTTATTCTGACATCTAAATGCTTAAATCCCACATATGAGTAACCACAAACGCCATTTTCTAGCTGAACCCGACTAATGAGCCTCTACATATCTCATATTATTGCCTAGATAAAATATCGTTTCCTGTACGTTAATAATGTATATGGCTTACAAGACCTGACGAGGGTTTCCTCAAGAAACCTGCTAAACTTCTCACAAAAACATACAGTAAAATTTAATGAACAGTTTCTCCAGAATCCTTTCGAACGAAATATTGTTCTTTCCTTTTAGATTTAAAGTGATAAAGTACGGGTGTATCGGTTAATTTAAATTAACCACAGCTAATAGTTTCTTTCACCTGGTCCACGGATAACCATAACAGGTTAGTCTAGCTTCAGCCAAAAGAACGGCATTCTGTAATATTCTACCATGGTGATGCTCCTCCAAACAAGATAATGTCCCATTCGAAAAGTATTTAAGATATCTAAGGTTAAGCTTACCTGAATAAAGACTAACAACGACAGCAACGACGATAACCGCAGCAGCTAGAGTAGTAACCCCAAAAAAGACAACAAGAGCGCGTTTGTTGATCTTCATCGACGAGTGATTGTCATCGGAATCCACAAGCTTTGATCCCAAAGATGACTCTGGATCTTGGACTTCCATGGCAGAATATCGCTGTTTATCTGGGGCTGGATCAAGTAAATGTCTATTTCCCTCTTCCATAGCATAAGAAAAGTTTATGCTTGTATTGAAGTCATTGAACCGAGCCCCAGGTCGGCCAGTTGGTTGAACAACATCAAAATATTACATATTCGATGCCTTACCTAACCCTGTGAACACGCAAGCATATATTTACTAATGTCAGCGGATATACCATAAGCCAATTAGAAAGAGGCAGTCTTCCCGGTCTTTTTCTTTTTTCTTTTCTTTTTTTTTTTCCTTTTTTTTTCTTTTCTTTTCTTTTCTTTTCTTTTTTTTTTCTTTTCTTTTCTTTTCTTTTCTCTCTCAATCTCTGTTTGCTTACTTTAGTTTCTTTCTTTCTTTCCTTCTTGAATGTATTTTTATCTTTAGACCCTCAGGACCTCATTTTTAATTAGATGGAATATGAAATCATTGAGAAGACCCGGCATCATACTAGTCCCTTGATCATAGTACGAAGCTTAATCTCTCGACCATACTTGATTAGTGATGTCCACTTGACTTCACCTCTCAGTAAACAATACATAGATTTAGTGAAAATACAAAGGTTTAAAATCTCTCAAATGTGTTGCAGTTGTCAGGAGCAACGGAGCAAAATTTCAAATAGCTGAATGTCCTTCATTATTTTCTCTGGCTAAAAAATAATCGTAATCGGAACGCCTACTACAAAATATATTTATTTCAATATGAGCTGTTCCAGTGTCTTGTGCCTTTAATTACCACAGACAGAGAGCATCGAGATATTTGATCTTGCTTCATGGAGCAAGATCAAATTCACAAGTAGAGTGATATTTCTTTAGCTACTAGGCCTCTGGGCAACCCAATGAACGCCTCTAGGGCGTCTTGTTAAATTTTCCTTTGAGAGCAAAGACACCACGACAGCTTTCGCAAATTACGGTGGGCTCAGGATTACCAATTAATTTTCTTATATTATTTTATCTGACGGCGATTAAATCCTTCTGCCCTTGGGTGTACGAATTACACAAGAAAATATTCTAGCCGAAGCATCAGCCGGCCCCCAGACCATATCGGCTAATCCCTTGCATCTCTAGTCAAGTCTAGTCTACTTGGTGTATTGTTTTCACGGCTATTGTTATGCTGATTCACCTGGAACTGTGGCCCAACATCGCGACATCTTGAACTTCAGTTGGTCAGTTTATACACCCGAGTAATTCCTATTCCTACACTGAGCCTTGAATTTCAGCAACTAACGAAAAAAATGCGCAGACATTGATTTACGACACGTGATTCGCAGCCCCACCCCCAATCAATCATTTCGATAAATTAGACATTGATTGGCAACTATCCTTTGAATATAAATCACACTTTACACAGGATTTCTGTATGATATGTTACTTCGTACTAAAGGACTTTTGGGTAGAGCCGTGAAGACCCTTGAGTACCATTGTGCAATTTTGGTATTTTTCTGACTCAATATAGTAGCACACGGGCTTTATATCTAGCTATAGGATTTCCAGGTTTAGATAGGGATTTCAATTTTGATTTTGTGTCAAAATGGATTTTCGGAAAAAAAAAAAAAAAAGAAAAGTTAAACCAGGGGTTAAACTTTTACAAACTACGCTGGTACTATTCTCTTAGGTCTTTGATGGGGTTAAAATGTACAATGTTGTTTCTTGTGTAGGGTATGTTTTTTCGACATATTCTTGCATTTATCACTGAATCTTGGTTAGCACCAACAAAGAACCAAGGGAAACCTGGGCTTTGCGTACGATAATGATCATTGGACCACCCCTGGCCTAGCACTAAACGGTTATTCCAAGGGCGAATCAATTATAAATATGACGGAGGTTGGCTTTGGGGAAATGAGAATGTGAATGAAGATCGAAGAGTAATGTGAATTCTAAAAAGAAGTTATTTTACATAAAAGTCCTCTCCAACTTTCCAAACTTTTCTCATGGTCCTCACATGGAGTTCTGCTTCATAAAATGTAGAATCTGGTTGGGGAATGTCGTGTCATCATACTAGGGTGGCTACTTTCACAACTAGCACCTCCTGGTTACGGCCCTGAGCGCTCACTCGATCGAAGAAAGTAGAATATTTCGAAAATAAATTCAAATTTCGCCAAAATTAGCATCCCTACAGTTTTGTCACGCGATAATTTTTTGCATTTATTTTTTATATAACGATTTGTGCTGACATGGGTAAACGAATGCTCTAGAAACTTCTCGAATATTATATTTTGTAGGATATATTACGTCATAGGACCAAAAATAGAAAAATCACTCGTACCAAGGCCCTCGCGATTAAAAGATTCTGGAAAAGTGCCAGCGTTTTTCGCTTGATGGTAGAGGCTATTTCGCGAGACTCAAAACGACATCCCGAAAATGACGTCACCTTCCTGTTCCCGACGGATTCGTTCCGTCGTACCGACTCAACAAACAAGATGGCGCCGATCGATGTATTTCTACTATAGTTTCTCTGTGCTTTTCCTAAAGCTTTTCTCTTTTTACATGAGGACTACCTCCAAGTTCCTCACAAAAATAAAGGTAAGATTTTAAAGCAAAGTATTTTAATAACAATTGTTTGCAAAATCGTAACAATGTTTTATTATTGTGTCATTTTGGGGCTCACGAAATAGTTTAAAGTTTTGGACGTTACTTCGCGAGTTCCAAAATGACAGCGCATAATCATTGTGTCATTTTGGGACTCACGAAATAGTTGTTTTAAACTTTGGACGTTACTTCGCGAGTTCCAAAATGACAAACTTTTTTAAGCTCAAATTTTCTCTTAAAATTCACAATTGTATGTCGAAACTATATCCTTTTAGGACTTATTTTTTTAATCGATTTACATCTATTTTCATAAACATACGACCTCGGTGCTCTGAGTCGCACGCTGAAATTTTTTTTTTCGCTGCCGTCAATCAAAAATATGAAAGTTACCAACTGATTAGGTTTGATTGACGGCAGTGAAAACCCAAATTTCTTGCAACTCAGAGCACTGAAGTCGCATGTTTTTGAAAATAGATGTAAGGGGGGGGGGGGGGTACTCCCATAAATGGACTATACGGGGATGATCCGATGAACAGGGTATGGTTTTTAGAGCTTCTTGTCATAAACAGGGTGTGCAATTTCACTCAAGTTCCAAGTTCTTCCTGAGTTTTCAGTCATATTCAGGGTTTCTACTTTCGTATTGACCGAAACTGGTTATCATGGTCGTAAAAAAAAATGATACGCGAGCTGACATGATAATTGAAACAGGAACTCAGTGCAATTAATTATATCTTTTGTCATAAACAGGGTACCCCTTTCAGAATCCCAGCGGAACACCCTATACCCAGATCCTGGCGGAGTACCCCCCCCCCCCAGGCTTGTAGGCTTGTGGGTGCGTAGGCATGTAGTCTTCTATTCTTGTAGACACGTAGACACATTCTCATACTAGGCTTGTGGGTGCGTAGTAGGCTTATAGGCTCATAGGCTTGTCTTCACACAGATTTGCATTTCGAGCACACCAATTCCTGCTCTTCTTTAAAAACCTCTCCTGGAATTTCCTCGCAATCTTGGTGAAACCAATTAAGGCATCCTTCACACTCTGCCATTTTTTTAGATTTGTCTTTCGAACGTCCGTTCCAAGGCATTCGACAGATACAAAATAACTGAACCTGGATGGTCTTCACTATGCATTTTTTATTTAAGATTTTTGCAGGAAGTGTTGGAAAGGGGGACATCTTTTGTTCATCAAGACATTTTAGAAGATGAGGCCTGAGAGCCCCTTCATCATAGTTTACTGTGGCTGGATTTTGCTGAAATGCCAAGGTAGTTGCATAGGCAATAGCAAACAYGCCGCAGTCTGTACCATTTGTTTGCTGCTGTACAGGGATGGTATTGATTTTCAGTTCAGGCTCCCAGCAGTATAGGAACTAAGCCATCTGTTGTTTGGTGTTTAGTGCTACAACACCACGAAAAAGACTATCATAATAGTCTATAACACTACTTTCTGGTGGCTCCCTTTCGTTAATATTTGAACAACAAACCCAGTGGGTTCTTCCAGTATGTAGTATCTGGATATAATGTCCACGAAACACAGAAAATCCTCCAACTGGGCCCAACGTCGAATTTTCGAGGCCTTGTAAAGCTGGAAATTGTGAGGCAAGGAGATTTTGTGCAATGTTTATTGCTTCATCTGACAACATTTTGCCATTACTGATGGCACTTCTTTCTGTAGGTGACAGAACTAACTTTGGCCTTTTGTTGCTAGTGGATGGTGAACATTGTTCAGTTCCAACATATTGTATATCATCTTCTTCACATTCATCATTGTCTTTACAATCAGCATAATCATTATCATCTTTGTCATCATTATCATATTTATAATCACCATTATTTTTATCATATTCATCCTTTCCCTCACCAATGATACCATCACTTTGATCATCATCCTTTTCCACACTATCAACAAATGAGTTGTCTGTGATATCATGGACTTCAAAATATTCTTCATTAAATCCATTCACTATTTCAGCAGGCACCTGTTCCTCAATTATGTTGCAGTTTGTTTTGGATTTCTTCTTTTTTGTTGGTGGCTCATTACTAGGCTCAGGTGTGCATGCATTCACATTGAATAGTCTTTTCATATTCTGTGCTTTTTCACCAACTCTGCCAGAATAGGGATGTTTTTTCTTCATTGATTTGGGAATCTCTTTATACTTCTTTGTACTTCCAGTGGACTTGATGAGGTGTGGTTTCTTTTCAGTGCCAGTACTTCCTGTAGTCTCCAGTATCAGGTTGTTTGACTTGGGAGAAGAAGCCTTTAATTTGTCAAGACAGGTGAGTAACATTTCATTTACCTCTTCAACCACTTCCACATCTTCTGTCAGGTAAGTAATGTTTTTTAGCTGATTAAAGATGTCTCTACACTTTGTTGCAGCAGTCTTGAAAAACTTTTTACGTTGAGGAATGTCTTTATAATGTAAAGGTTTTGACTGTTGTTGTAGTTCAGCTGGTTGTTCAGAAGGGGAAGCAGAGTTAATGTCATGACTTGAGACTGAGTCTTCATCAAGTCGTGGCTTATAAGTATGGGTAGTACTGGTGCCAAACATAACATTCTCATCAAGGGTTAGAAATGGAGAATGTCTGTAATGTTCTGGAAGATCACTGAAGTTCCATTTTGGAATACACTTGAAGATTGCAAAAAAGTGTTTGTAAGGAAGTCTTGTTTTTTCCCAGTCAAGGCATTGACAACTTGGCAGAGACTCACTATTGCCAAACTGCACTTCATAAACATGAGGATGGCTCTTTACTTTGAAGAAGCATGTGTTGTTCTGCTGCTCTAATACCTGGATATCAGCCATTGTGAAATCTTGTGCAGAAGTCATCCTATCTTGACAGTGTTTAACCACATATGTTGGTCTGTTGTGCAGGTATTCAGGAATGGCTCTGTTGTATTCTTTGAAACTACTAGAAAGCCTGCAGTTTCCCTCTACATATCTACAGGTATAAATATAAGAAATTTTGCATTATTTCCATGGTTTTTAATATTTTGACATTACTTTGTTCAAAACCAACCTGTTAAATTTGTCTGGAAGGAAATCTTCTACGAGGACAGTTATCATTCGACTAAGTGTGGGTTTCAGCTTTCCAACAAGGTAGTCATATTTGAAGGTTTTGTTTTGACGCTCCACTCCATTATTTGTATTTATATTGACAAGAAGTCTTTCCTTTCTGTATGCCCAGACCCACCTCTGTTATAAACAAAACAAATAATAATTATTGACAAATAGGATTGTTAGCCTTTAAGGCTTATACAATGGCTATATTAAACAATCACATTAATTAGTTAATTCATGTAATTATTTGCCTTTTTCTGTCTTAACCATGTGTTTTCAATCCAGTTTTTCAGGTTTTTACTTGTCTTCCACTCTGGAGTAGATTTCAGGTTGTCCACTGCTACATTGCATTCTTGTTCTGTCCTTGATCTGGCAATTGCTCTAAGCTTTGCAAGAAGTAAGTCCTTTTTTTCTGTGAGTCCATTTGTTCCTTTTGAAAGCCATCTTTCCCAGGCCTGCTCTCTATGGAAATCACAGATGTATACTTGGCAGTCTAGTGGTAAATGTAAAGAATAATATATATTATATATGTTACATATTAGATTTCCAATTTCAATGACCAGATTAAATTAGTTACTGACCCTATCTATATATCTCAGATTAAACAACAATATTGATATAAATATTATTGAGTAAACCAATCAATGTGGCCCCATAAGTTATGACATTTTATAAAGTTAACAAATTTCTCTATTCTCTAAGAGCCCATTCGATGAACCACTACAAAATTGTAATTTTTTATCGTGACAATGATAAAATCTACTTCTGCAGAATAAAACAATGCAAAATTTAAAAATGCAAGATAATATTGATTTATTTACTGTTGAAAATTTCTTGAATTGCTGTTATTTCTTCTTCAGCACAATCCACCATGAAATAGAGTGGACTCCATTTGTTGTTTGACCAGTCTCTCAAAATGCCTAATGCCTCCTTTATTGCCTCTGATGTCTCACTTTGTATGACAAAGGAACCAACAACTTGGTAATCAATGTTGGTTTTAACCACAACAAAGTACAAAGGTAAGGCATATTTAGTTGTYTTGTAGGTAGCATCCAACAATGTCAGTTCATTGCCATAGCGGAGCATCAGCTCTTGTTGCCATTTTGTTTGGTGGACAAAAAGTAGACCTCTCTTTCCAAGATCTATTTTGACATTATCGGCAACATCATCCTCTAGACCATCACATGCTGTAGTTGGATCTTTCTCTTCTTCTTCCACGTATGGTCTGAATTTGAATTTGTCATTTGCACTTTCTTTTTGCCAAATTTCAATTTTTTCTTCTAGATTTTTTTGGTCAATATTGGATAGTTGCTCCTTTATGAATGCTCTATACATATGGTTCTTAATTGTTGTCTTAGATGGAAAGAAGCGCCTGTTTAGAATTGATGGTGTGTCATCTTCCTGACAAAGCTCATGTCTTACAAAGGTATTGAGGTGTCTTTTCATCTCATTCACACTTGTTTTGCCCTCAGAGGTAGCAAGCTTCTGGATTTTGTTTATAAGTCTTGGATCAATCTGTTGCAGGATACCACTTGCCTACAGAGAAATGATCAATACACGTAGAAGCATAAATAAAGTGAATATGCATTGTACAGTGTAATGGCTTTGTTTTTTTTTTAAGGTTGTACTTACTTCACCAGTGGGATGACCCTGATGGTCAGTCATTTTGGGGAATTCTATATAAATTCTTGTTTCTCCTTTAGCACACCCTTTCTCGATATCCTTTCTCAGCTTCTCAGATACTGATCTCTTCCCTCTCTCTGTATTTTTATCTATCTGTTGCAATGCAAGATACCGGTATGTTATGTATGGTTCTTATTGTTACAAAAGATGGGCAAATGATACAAGACTACATAATGTGTAGTTCGAGATATTAACCATACCCCCCCCCCTCACCCATAGAGGATTTTTTGAAGACCCCCCTCCATACAAACTCTTTGATTTTTTTCTTTGATCCAGCCCCACCCCTCAGAAATTCAACATCCCTATGTGTGTGTGTGAGGATTGGGGCATGGATAGTTTCTGGTACTACACAATATTATTTTGTTAATTGTTCATCATGACTAGTATCAAAACTACCTTATAGCCTGGGAATTGCATCACTTCACGCATGATAACTTGGGCAGGGCAGCCAAACTTTTTAGTATTTTGAACCAGAAATCTTCGCTTTTTAAATGAAAAATGATCACCAGTGTCCTGCAACAGAGTAGATTGATTTCTTTAAAGAAATAGTAGAGAGACATTGACTTGTTTCTATTCATAACTTAAGTACCTGCATCTTTTCAAGATATCGCCTTTTATCAGCCTTGTTTCTGTCAATACCATGATGACAGTCATAGACTTTTCTGCCATTTATCACGAATGGTACGCCATCAAACTCTATTCTGCTAGAAGTAGTTGATTTAGCATCTTCAAAGAACACTTTATGTTTTTTTCCATCATCTGTTTTGGTTTTATTTTTATAAAAAAAATATTTAATAAATATATTTCACATGTAGATAGATGGATAAATCACTCAATTAATTCTATTTTTATTACTTGTTACAGATAGATATTACTATCGACTATGTCTCATTTTCTCATTGGACTCTGAAGATGACTTACACTCAGGTTGTGGAAACGTCAGTCACCACCAACAAGACTACACTTACCCGGACAATCACATTTCACAGCAAATTCAACTTATTAATTTTATTTTTCTCTTTCTGTTCTTTCACTTTTGGTGTAATGCAAATTCTTTTAGAATTTTTCATTTCATTTTCCAGGTTAAGCAGCATGCTATTCACAAATACTACAGAATGTCTCTGTGATCCATGCCATGTGTATATAATGACATAACATCTTATAAATAAAAAGAGTTAATACATGTATATATACTATAAAAATCATTTATTACTACAGTAGTCATAGTTGTGACCTTATAAATTAGAATAATTGTTCTCTTGAATTTTTGTCCAGGGACTCTGGGAGGAGGAGGGTAGAGGGAAGGAGGAATGATCATGAAGAGAGCTTAGTATTTTTTAATTAAAAATGTCAACATACCTTTTCTTGCAAAATTCTTACAGTAAAACACACAGAATTTACTTGTTGTAGCAGTTTCAAATTGTCTAAGGACTTCTAAGGCTTCAAGCTCATTTGAAACATAACCAAAATTTGCCTCCAGAGATGTGAAGTTATTCAAAATATATTCCATCTCCATCAAGATTTTTACCACATTTCCCGGCAAATTTCTGAAATTCCCGCCAAAAGGACCATCCATATTTACTTCCGGTTGTCAATTTCGTTCACGCGAAATAGTGTTCATAAGTTTGTTAACATTACTTCGCGTGAATCAGGCTGACATTGTTTCTTCTTTCAATTAATGGCTATAAAACGATTTTGATAACATAAGGCACAACATTATTGAGAGAATCTTATTTTTATTTTAAAATTAATCACGATTTACAMGTTCAAACACTCAACAAACGGCTTCAACACGACTTCAACAWGGCATGATTTCCGGTAGCTTCACTATCGAGGCAATCCGTCGGGAACACGAAGGTGACGTCATTTTCGGGATGTCGTTTTGAGTCTCGCGAAATAGCCTCTACCGTTTCGCTTCGCGTGATTTGTCTGCAAACGAGTGCACAGAGGCGGTCACGATATTTTGTGGCGGTATCACGATTTAACTAATTGTTATACACTTGAATCATGGCTAAAGCTCCAGCAATTGGTATCGATCTCGGCACTACCTACTCCTGTGTTGGTGTCTTCCAACACGGTAAAGTAGAAATCATCGCTAACGACCAAGGAAACCGAACTACTCCAAGTTATGTCGCCTTCACCGATACTGAACGTTTGGTAGGCGATGCAGCCAAGAATCAAGTCGCTATGAACCCAGCAAACACTGTTTTTGGTGAGTTGCTGGTAGGGTTTAATTGTTGATCTCCTACAGCTCATATTTTAGATTGATTACTAAAAAATTATTCGAGCTACCTCGGAAAAACTCTTTCACTTTCGGTTCTTTGCAGATGCCAAGCGATTGATTGGGCGTAGATTTGATGAACCTGGAGTTCAATCCGACATGAAATACTGGTCATTCAAGGTATTCTTAGTTAAATTTAACAATATTTAACCTCGCTTTTAAGCGTATGAGTATAATTTCGTACATTTTTAGGAGAAAAGTACAAAGATCTAGACAACATTCTTCAATGTATATTTGCAAATTTTGACTAAAGCTTGTCTCTATTATTCAAAAAGGTCATTTCTGAAGGTGGTCGACCAAAAGTCCAAGTCGAATTCAAAGGAGAAACAAAGACATTCTTTCCAGAAGAGGTACTAAAATCTCTTTTCAATTCCTAAGTGTTTGAAAAATATCTTTTCTTTAATGTTTTCGTTGCAATTTATTCTTATTATCATGCAACTAAGTCTTACCATGATGGTAATTTGTTAATAAATCACAGATATCTTCAATGGTTTTGAATAAGATGAAGGAAACTGCCGAAGCTTATCTGGGCACCAAAGTAACGGATGCTGTTGTCACTGTACCAGCCTATTTTAACGATTCCCAGCGACAAGCTACTAAAGATGCAGGTAAAGTTATGCAGATATTTTGAAATATTTCGATGTCCTCCGAAAAAGAAAGTTAAGGCCTCATTTATATTATGTGCCTTTGTGTACCCATCAATGTCATTATCAGTGGTAGGGGTGGAGATAGACAATTATTTCATGCTGCTGCAGTTTAGCAAATTTGATCATAAACAAGTCACACTTTCTTGGTTTCAAATACTTGAGGAGGAATTGCAGTTTTCCCAGTTTTTCTGATTTTATTTTTCATGAGCGCATTTTTTTTTCTAAATTGGGCTCCCTGTGATCGACCCTTTGAAGTGACAGTCATGCAGAATGCACATCTGCCATGATCTGTCATCTGGAAATAATTAGCACTATATAAATTGGTCATTTATCATTTTAACAAGCTGGAGAGGCAAAATTCTTCTGTTCTTAGATCAGTGAAGTTAAAAAAGAATTAATTTATTGTGTAGTTCCAGATACATCCAAATCCTAGCTACATAGGAAATTGGAAATTGTGAAAGGGAGGGGATGAAAGAAGAATGAAAGGAAACTTTTACGAATTTCCTCTATGATGGGGGTATGGATATTTTCTGGAACTACACATTTTTGAAAATTATGGCATAGTATTGCAGTGACAGTGGTCAAATGAAATTGTTTTAATTTTACCTCAAATCATGCAAAAATTATTGCAAAACGAATAAACTGATATTGTTTTTTTTAAATTTTATATCCTATAATGAACTTTTTACTCATTTGATAAATAATAATTTGCACAGTTGAATGCGAGCAGGACAAAATTGTCTTTCATATGTCACGTATTGATCAATAATGTTCCACCCCAGATTAGGCTAAGATTTCGATGGACCTTCCAGATATTTTTCAAATAATCAACCTTTATGCTTGCTATTCAGGGGTTATTGCTGGTATCAATGTGTTGCGTATTATCAATGAGCCAACAGCTGCAGCCATTGCATATGGTTTGGACAAGAAAGTTGGTGCTGAACGAAATGTCCTTATCTATGATCT